GCGTAAACGATCGCTTCTTTGCTGCATGCCGCCGGTTAAAATCCTGTTCCATTCTGCGGTTTCTTTCACTAACAGAGGACTCCGAGCGCGGTCGGATGGCGTCGAAGGGGATGCGGAGCTTCCGGTTCATCATAGCCTGTTCTGAAGAAACTCCGTCTGGCGCTTGTGGATTCGGAGTTGATCGGTAGAGGAAAAGGAACCGGTCAACCACCTCCTCTATACGTCCCTTCCCTTTTGATTTGTGGAGAGCTCGCTTGAATGTATCGACAAACCTTTCTGCCTGGCCATTCGACTGTGAGTGAAACGGCGGCGAGCGAAAGTGCTGTACGGCGCACTGCTTGCAAAACTCCGTAAACGTTGCCGAAGTAAATTGTGAGCCATTGTCGGTGACAATTGTCTCAGGACAGCCGAATCTGCTGAAGGTTTGGCGCAGTTTCGATATGGTGGCGTTGGTGGTTGTGTTCTCCATAAGAAATACTTCAGGCCACTTGCTGTATGAATCGACTATAATGAGGAAACTTCGGCCGTTGATCGGTCCCGCAAAGTCGACATGGATGCGGCACCATGGCTTAGTAACTTTTGGCCATGAATAGAGTACTGATTTTTGTGGCGCCTTCAAGACATTGGCACACTTTTGGCAGCGTTTGGCTATTTCTTCTAACTGTTTGTCCATGAAGGGCCAGTATCCATAACTGCTGGATTTACATTTCAGCACCTTCAATTCATTGAATGGTTGCACACTGACACTGGTATATCACATTTGGTGAGCTGTGTTGGTACATACCAGACATTCTTAATTCCCACATAAGATCTTGAGGAACGATTAAAGTATCAGCAAGTGAGGGATATTTTTTCACTCCTTTTTGATTATATTCTGACGAAGTTGTACTGATTTCCAAATTAACAACTAAACAGCATATTCCTAGACAGTGCGTGGCACACTCCAACTAATTTGTGTAATCAATTTGTACAACGAGATCGCATAAAACGTACTTGTTCACTCAATTTCACAATAGTCCCAACCAGATTTTTAGTTAATGAGATTAAGAAACTAGGAACAATAACCATCTCAGGGCTGCTCGTCTGCAATACGAGAAGGGTTTGGCTGACTCGGCGGCCGCAAATCCCAATAGTTTCTTTGCTTACGTAGAAGTGCAGTGGGGCACAACTGTCCATATCAGCGTTCCCGCGAGCAGACGGGACCCGCGCATACACCGATTATAATAAGTCTGGTATACTGAGCGAACAGTATATTGGTGTCTGCTCGCAAGACCTTCTTACCGCAGGTTGCATTGGTTTCAAGAGTTCCAGCGGATTCTTGCTTAGCTGAGTTTAACATTACGTAGACTCAGGTCTTTGAGCTATTGTAGATCATTAACCTCCAAAGCTTCCGTCCCTGATTTATTTCATCCGAAGCTGTTGCAGGAATTGGCCGCTGAACTGAGTGGTCCTCTCACATGCGTGTTTCCAAAATCGCTGGACAGCTGCGTCTTACCTTCGGATTGTAAAGAGGCAATCATCTGACTGATTTTTAATTGCGGTGACAGTAATCTGCCCGCGAAATACCGACCTGTCAGTTTGACAAGCGTAGTAGTCGAGTTGTTTGAAAAACTGATAAGGGGTTCGATGAAGAACCACCTGAACAAACTTAACCTTCTCAGTGCTGTGTAATACTAGTTCTCTAAGGAATTTTCTTGTCAGACTAATTTACTTGTGGCTCATGAAAGCTAGGACGAAGCGGTAGCCACGCTATAGACGTGTGATTCGTAGACTTTTCGAAAGCTTTTGGTACTCTTCCTCATCTTATACTCTCACCAAAGGTGGGATCTTAAGTGGGCGTCTGCTTTCCCTATAGTATGGAACAGTGTGTACGTGTGGTGTGTAGCCTTTCCCTTAGGCAGGCTGTTCTTAGTGGTATCCCGCAGGGCTCGGTATTGGGACTATTTTTGTTCGCGATCTATGTAAATGACTTGCTGGGGAAGCTAGGAGTGTCGTCGCTAGTGTTTGCTGACGACCTTAAGCTCTGGAGTGTCGTGAATATCCCTGGGGGTTCTGAGGCAATTCAGAGTACCTTGGATAGGCTTTGCGAATGGTCTGACTTATGGTTGATGCCCATAAATCGGGCCAAGTGTTCTGTTCTCCGAATAGGAGCTGCTAGTCATCCCACTCGAAATGTTGTCGGTGATGGTGAAATCCCTGTTGTCATTCAGCAGGTTGATTTAGGTGTCGTCCACTCATCAGCACCTCACTCTTGCGACGATTGCAAGAAGGGTGCTTATAGGGTGTTCCGAATGATGTCGTTTATCCATCGCTTCTTCATAGTCTTAACGACCGATATATTTGTGAAATTATTCTCGGCATTCGTGCGACCCCGCTTGGAATACTGTATCCAAGCTTGTCCACCATGTCTTATCCGAGACAAAATGGAGAGGGCTTTACGCGTGGGTACTAAGTTAGTTCAGGGTCTACGGGGACAGACGTATCCTGAAAGCTTGTTTAGTTTGTGGATGGTCTCAATGCACTACCGAAGGACAAGAGTGGACTTGATTCTCACTTATCGTATTTTGGCGAGTAAGATCGGCCCGGACTTGTCAGGGCTATTTTGTCCCCCTAAGTTGCCTAATCTCCGCGGTCACCTACTGAAACTGCACCAACCGCGGTCTGCTAAGATTAGGACGGAAACTCGTCTGTTGCGCCGAGTTATAAAGCACTGGAATTCACTTCCAGATCATGTGGTTAGGGAACCTATGGGTAAGAGTTTTGCGCGTCAGCTCGATGCACTTGGATGGCAACACCAAACCTTTCCTTTTTCCTAACTGACTCATCTTCAGTTTTTTAGTTACTCATATATCCTAGTATAATTGTTTAGCTCTCTTCCTATTCTTGCCTTTGTTGTTTCCACACTTCATGCAACCGGCCCAACAGGGATTGCTAGTGCATGATACGTGGTTAGTAATTAATTGGACTGCGTGTGATGCGGTCTTTTTTACGTCCATCTCTATATCAAGCTCCTTCGTCAACTCCTAGTTCAACGATCCGCTGAAGAAGGAACACTCACGGGATAATCCTATCGTTCCAGTCCCACTTGAACTTGAACAGATGCAGACTTAACCAAACGTTCAGCTGAAGTAATACGACCATCCATAAAGCCATCCCCAGTGGACCTGCTTCCATGTAGGATATTCTCTCGAGAGTTTTCATCCGCACTTCCATGCTCCATCTGAGTTTGTGCCGGGGTAGAAAAATAGCAACTAGGCCATCACTTGCTTAGCATATTTCAGGGCTTTTTTTGCATACGTTATGGGCGATCAGACCACCTAGCTTGTTCCGTCACTCACCATTTTTGAACATGACACTTTTTTATCTCATACAAATGAGATTGAACTTTACTTCGTTATCAATCGCACTAGGGAGTCAGTGACAATACGTCTTGCATGAGTTTAATTTAGAGCTTCGTCACTTCAAGTGTTTAGCTCAGTTGTGGCCAGCAATGAAATGAGGAAAAGTGCGAATCATAAGGAATTTATAATAACAAAAATAATAATTACAGTCATTTGCAACTAGGCCAGTCGCAATTTGGTCGAAAACCCTGGCGAACAACAACGACGGTACGGCGATTTCGAGAGAAACAGTTTTGTACTCTCTGACCAGGGTTTTATGAGGAATAAAGAGCAGTAAACATAATCTGATTGTAGGGGTTATACCTTTGCGGTTAGCAGTGCTTTATCGCCATTCACGACCAATTGAAGCCCTCAGAATGGGAAGAGAGTTAGTTCATTAATTCCGGACAGTCGATCGCAAAGAAAGAATCCATTAACAATCGTTCGGCGAAGAAATGAAAAAGAACTAAGGAGTGAATCACTAATTGCTCTTACATTGCAGTATTCCGTATTCAAGCTTGCTTCTATTGATTACACCTGTTTGTATATTTTCAAAGTATGCCAAAACACCCATTGAAATGCCGAGTTTACTTACTTGCAAATTCTTCACCCGGAATTATCCTCATAATTAGTGGAGCTTGTCTAAGCCGCAATCACTGTTTTCTTGGCTTTATGCTCAAGATCTTAAGTGACTCGCCTTGACTTGTTCGACCGCAATCGATATTTTACCATGTTATTGACTGTCTGATAAATTCGAATGACACTTTACCTAGTTGGCTGCATTATTAATATTGCCGATGTATCATCCAGCAGGAAGACTGTTGGAAAAGAGCCTTCGAGTCGGCCAACTCGCTAGTTACATTGTCTTCAGACATGAGATGCTTACGAAACCAGCGGAGCTGTCGAATTCGTCCTCCTGCTTCTGACCATCAAGCCGTCTATCATGCGATTATGACTTAAAAATAAATAAATAAATAAAATGTTTATTCTCGACTAAGCGAGCCACGCCTGCACAGGCATGATCATGTTAAGAGTACAAGATGTGATCAGTTAATGTACAATGGGATTGTCGCATATGTTGATAGATAAATGTATGTAAGTGTGCATGTGGGCGTGTTTGGCTGTGTTTGTGGAATTTGTAAATGTTGTTCTGCCCTTTTGATCATGCTTGAACGCGTCGCCAGTGTTCAATGGATGCTTGATGGCTGTGGACTTGAGGCGGTTGTCCGGATAAGCAATGGGTGACTTTAGTTGGTGGCGAGTCACAACCGCCACGTCACAGTGTTATTAAACGGACATTTGTGGCTTTTTATAGGGTGAACGCTTGCCAGGCAAAATCCCACCACGTCCCAAAACACTGTCGCCGAACTATTTGCTGGAACGGGGTGAACCAGAAACACCCAGCTGGCACCAAGAGGAGGTTGTTCGGCTAGCCAGCCACTTGTTATTGCAACTCTAAGTGGCGACGTAACTCACATGATCTAGATCAACAACGCTTATGTGATTCTGCATAGTTGTATGACTGTCATGTGCTGCTATCTTAACTCATTTTACGCCTATTTATGCTTCAGGTCAACTCGGATCCTCTTGACCATAATTCCGGCATTTCTTTCCCCTTAGCTCCACACCTTGCTGATGCTGTCCGACTTGATCTAGATGTTTTATTGGCGCTTTACAACCGCTCAGCCGAGTCTACAGACAGCATCGAGTTAGTCGGAATGGATCTGGACAACGTGACTTTTACCTTAGGGCTGCGTGGACTTAATGCTGAACACCCGGCATGGACGACCACTCCGGTGGAGATTGAGGCTTTACGATCTATTCGGCACCGATTTCAGCCTAGCTTGCAAATATTAAAGAACCTACACCAGTTGGTAAGAATGACAGAGCAGATTAAGAAAATGGAGTCAGACTTCGAAACCACCATGGAGAACTTGCTGGTCACCGCGACGAATTTCAAAGTGCTGGTCGTGCGAAGTGCTGTTGATGGTGCGTCCACCGAAGGAGATGCAAGCGACGATGATCATTCGGAGCCTCAATCCTCAGAATCAACAAGTCATCCGTCGTCTCAAAATGTGTTAGAAATCGTCAAAAATGTTCTGCGAAAATTATCACCAGAATCTCCACAAGATTTAACGGTGTATGAGACAACCAGCTCAGCCAAAGGGACGTCCATGTTTGTGATAATGGTGAGTTATCCAGCCACTGAGCAACGGCTCTCACCTTGAAATTTTTAATGCTGTCTTCCAATGTTCTACTATGCAGAATTACGTCTTAGGCATAGTGTTTATTTGGGTTTTTACCGATTTGCACTTCCTTACCACAAGGCCCGTGATGTCGAATAGAGTCTCTTAGTTCGTTATATTAGGCCGGTAATAGAAGCTTCCTGAAGCTAATATCTCAATTCACCATTTTGAAATGTGAACCTCTAGCTTGGGACATGTCTTACCAAGTTAGACCTTTTGAAATCACACCCAGGTTACTACCCATTTTGACACCACGATGCTTTCTGTAGGCATGAACTTTCGATCAAATTGGAGCACGTGCCTGGATTCTGACCATGTTCTATCGTACGTTTGGCGGTCACCCTCCTCGCTTCTCACCTGTAAATTAAATTCGCAGTCCGCTGTTCAACAAGATCGTGACGAACCGATCCACCAATTGTGAGGAAATAATCAAGTTGGTGAGCCCAACGTTAACTAAATTCGTCACAAGTGTGCCATGAAGAACGCCTTTTACGCCTGCTGTACACCCAACTTGAGACATCCAAACCGTGAAAGGATCTGTGAGGCATTGATCAGTTTGCTCGAAACACGCAAACAGGTTCTGTTGGACATTAAGTCTCAGCGTCTCCGTAACGCCACAAGACCACAACTGACAAGGAGTCTTCGAGTTGAACGGGAGCGCTGGTGAGTGGAAACTGCCTATGCGATGGAGAAAACCAGTGCTATTAGAAACTGCCGAGTATTGTTTCTGTTTTCCCGGAACACGGGTTCAAAAAATCCCTTAGTTATTGAGACACTAATTGCGAAAGACGGACAGATGATCCATTCTCACCTGCGTCGACTAACCCGCTAGTCGAAATACTTTGTAGCTCAGTTCAGCAAGCCTACTGTGACACTACGGCTTGCTGAATCACCTGAGCCGACGTTGGAAATTGATGTCGCGCCTCCCACTTCAGTTGAGATTGGATCTGAGCTTACCGTGTTGAAGGAAAACAAAGCCCCTGTGTCATACGACTTCAATCATTGCTGTAAGGTAGGGGTGACTCATTGTTGGCTAGACTTATTGTCTTAATCAACACGATTTGGGACCTTGGAGAGGTGTCTTCAGCCTAGCGACTGTCAACTGTTATAACCATCTTTAACAAGAGTTAGCGCACTTTGTGCGAAAATTATTGAGTCATTAGCCTTCTTTCTATTCCCTCCAAATTTCTCTCGGGTATCATTCTTCGGTACTTTGTTGGTTCTCCGAAGGTCCTGGTTGCATCGACCACTTATTTAATCATCCTTATGTTAGAGCAGACACTTACAGACGACCGACTCTGGTGGTTTTCCTTAACTTTCTTAGACGAGCCAATTTGTGGCATCGCCTGTCCGTGGAGGGTCTGCTTGTCAAAATCCTATATTCTGAAGTCTACAGTTACTTCCGAAGCGGAGTAAGGGTACACGGGAAGTTGCCTCTCGACTTCCCCACGACAACTGGGGTTCTATATGTTTGCCCTATACCTATTTTTTTCTTCAACTTTGTGGTGAAAATGACCATGAATGACTCCGTTCTTTCCGAAAGTGGAAGTTCTGTCACGTGACCGACTGGACAACTCTTGGATGTGCCCTAGACCTAGCTGTCCTTCGGTCCGTGACAGCGACTCTGCCTAAACAAATAAGTAAGCGATGTATTCATCGGCGGTGCGAGGCATAGCGCAGCTGAGTGGTATGATCAATTTGTACGAGGTCGCATAATACAGGTTATGGTTCACGTTTTATTCACTGAATCCCTAAAGGATTTCCATAGTGATTAGCAGGTTGAAGATATTAGATAGATAAAGAAACTGAGAACAATATCAAATGCAGATTTAACGAACTGTTCTCATACTGAAGTGTGGCACTGCACGCTTCGGTGTATGCTTTGCATCTTCTTGAATTCGCTCCGCTGCCTTGCGGACAGGCTATTCAGCCAAAGGCTCGGGGTGGTGTCCCCTAAGTCAACACCCTACTTCGGCTTGGGCGACCGGGTAGTATCTCGCCATCTGAGGAAACCATGGACATTGTTGTGTTGTGTTTTATTTTACTATTTCTGTACCTTCGTTTGAATCCCATGGTTTCTGATGGCATTATGTCTATTCGTAGACTTTTGCAAATATATATATATATATATATATATATATATATATATATATATATTTGCATCTTCAAAGTGCAACCTATTGTTGTAGCAGTGGACCGATACGCCATGCTGGTTTTAGCTATCGGTGTACTGCAACTGGAAATGATGGATCAGTTCACTCTGTCACCTCTGGCGGTCACATCATTAGGGAAGTTCGTGTATCAGCTAAGCCCGTGTGGCATTTCTGAAACAGCTATTTGTAGAGACGGCGGGAAATCAACTTGTCAATGAAAGTTCCGTTTTGCAATGCTTCGATTGGGCCAGTTCGCAAGGAAGACATTAAACGCTTGGCCGTGTTTGATCACTGATGGTTACAGTGTAATGCTTACATCCATTTGGAGCATCGACGAGCAATGCTGATGTCCACCAGTTGGTTTTTGGCGAAAAGTCTTCTGCTAGTACAGTCGTGTTTGCTAAATCTTGACCGCTTGCTTTGTCTGGGTCATATGCTCGGTGCCATTATATGCTTTCGCTGCACCAAGCTGGGCGAAATCGCGAGATGGCCTGTCCATGACGTGGCATAGATGCGTGAAGAAATTGACTGAGGGGCTTGGTCAGACGTGTGTGTCGTCTTCCTGGATGGGTGTCCTGCATGGTCCAAACCGGTGATTGGAGACTGTCAGACATGGTGCAGCCGCTCAGTCGATGACGTTCGTGCACTCATTTTCTTTCACCTAGCTGTTAATTTTAATTCCGTCCCGTTTAGTTTAACGCACTTTTGTCCTTATTCCGCTTCGTAACCTCCTTGCGTTCAATCTCTTCTCACGGTTGATATTTGTTGTTATTCTAGCTACCTGGCAACTGGATAATGGTTGTTCAACTGAACTGAACAACACTTAGGGATGTCTTCATATTTGTCTTGCACTGACCCTTCTGCCTTTCAGTCCAGTGAAGAAAAAGGGAGGGAGGAACGTCGGATGGATGAAATGGAAAGTGCATACAACTTTAAAAAGTCATCGCCCACCGCGCAAAACCAACCAGAGTAACGACGTTGCTGCCACTTACGTCCCTAATCACACAGTTGGTAACTGTTTGCTTTCTCTAATCTGTGATCGGTGTTTTGTGATGTCCCAGTGTCTCGTCTTCTCTACATTCCTGTGACCAATGTTACCTGCACCTATTTCTCCCCTCACGGTTTTTGCTTACTCATGAAAGTGTTTACCATCTTAAGAAAATATACGCGCTGATTCTGTTGACGTGAAACTCTCGTTTTGATCTTAATGCACAGAATCGAATCACAACCGTTGTGTATATAAGTATGGTATTCTTTTGTTGCGGAGAATTTTTAATGCCACTGATTGTCACCGTCGAGCTTGATCAGTATTTCCGACTATTCAGTTAGATCTAAACTATCAGCTGCGTACTTTGTACTCAGTCAAACACATCCAGAACGCTTTCAAATTCCTCCTTAGGGGAATGCTGTCCTCCATAGATCTCTTGAGATGGTCCTTAACGCTATCAAATCGCATCTAACGAGACCAAACACTCTTAGACAATGCGTACTGTTCATTAAGTGATCAGACCTAGATCAGCCCATACTATAACATGAGTATACAGAATGGGATCTTTTTGGCTGATTGGTGATTGGTCACTCAGTGAAAAGTAGCCTTTAGAGGCGTTCACCCCAGTTATATGCAACTTGAAAAATCTGTGGAGAACCATGATTTCCTTAGGGAGGAATTTGAAAGTGTTATGTAAGCACCGGACTGACAAAAGGTATGCATTTTCAATGCATGCTTGCATATGTGGTATGTGTAGAGTCTGAAACTAGCAGTCCAACGTCTAATAGCGGAGCATTGAGTTCGTATCAATTGGTATTGAGCTGATATTCATTCCGAGGTGTGGTGGGCCATCCATAACAACGGAACACCATGCCTGCATTTGTGCTTCACTGCTGTTTGAACGTAACTTGAATTGAACTGTTCTGCTAACGGGAATGACAAGAGAGGTGGGAAGAAACGGATCTAAATCTGAAACGCATCAAACAGCTATTGGAGGCAATTAACCCACTTTAACGTGGGACGTCCAAGTGGTGAGTTACTCCGCGATGGAATTAAATTTCGTCGAATGGGTACAACAGATGATCTTAGTATTGCGAGTGAAAGAGTTAATGGAGGAGGCGTGGTCACAAAACTCGGCCCTTCAAGGTCACCAAGGTCCTTCAAGGCATCAGATATGGATCTTTATGAATGGCTCTGGCCTTTGACAATAACTTCTTGGCTTGTTTGACCGCTGCCTCCGCTTTTCTGTTAGACTGGCTGTGGTATTAGCTGGTTTGTCGATGCGCAAGTTTTTATTTGTTCGCGAAACTCTGAAAAGCAGCAATTGTTACTTGCGGGCCATTCTCGGAGATCAGTTCCTCGGATACTCAATGTCTGGCGAATTGACATTTAAGTTTATCGATGACTGCTTCCGTGGTCGCAGCGATGAGTGGATGGCTCACGAAATAGTCACTGTAGTAGTCCACTGTTATTAAGTAGTCTTTCCCGTTATCACAGAACAAGTCAAATTATACTTTCTTCCATGGTCCATCTGGAATTTCACACGGCATCATTGGTTTCATGGCTTAGCGAGCCTCCTGGAACCGGTAGGCTGAACAGCTTGATACTAGATCTCGGAGTTGACTCGTCATCCCGTGTCAGAACATCAGTTCGTGTGCTCTGCTCATGCTGTAGTGAACATCGAAATGGACTCGATGAGCTTTTTCTAGTATCTCTTTGCGTAGCGACGATGAAATCGAAACGCGACTTCCTTTGAATAACAAACCGTCATACACCGTGAGTTCATCCCGAAAGTTGAAGAACGGCGTTAATTCCTTCGGGTTTATCCTTTGTTTCTGGTCATCCACTCAAAATCACATGGCGTCCGCCACCGTATGACGCCTTATTTCTTTCAGACGATCTTCCGTTACAGCCAGACGCACCAGCTTTACTGCCTCGATTTCTGCTTGTTGTTCGACTATCGGATGATCAGCTCTCGACAGAGCATCCGCGTCCCCGGGGTGTACACAAGGTCCATGTCATATTTTTGGAGCCGGATAAGCATTCTTTGAGGACGTCGAGGGACACTATTTCATGGTTTGCTGGTTATTGACACGAGCGGTTTATGGTCAGTATACAAGGTAGTCTTCATCCCAAAGGTCTATCGCAATGAGGCTGGACCCTACCGTGGTGCGACGGTTTGTGTGCCTCAGTGATCCACTGAGCTATGCTGGGTGGTGCTTTCTTGCACCTTCAGAGCCACTCATACCAGATTGGTCAATGGTTAGAGGCCAGACAAACTCAGCCGCCTGGTCCTCCAGGTTGGGGTTTAGAATGAGGGTAGCTCCTTATTCCTTAAAACGGACTCCTTGTAGACCAACGCCAAACCCGCTGCCTTGCGGTAAGGTTTTTAAACCCAAGGCCTTGGTTTAGAACCCTAATCGTTCTCCTGTCTAGGCCTGGGCAACCTGACAGTATCCTGTCCACGCAATAGTATGAACCTTACGTCAAAACATTCCTGATGCTCTGGCCACCGCAGAGGATAATCAACGGTGCCCTATCTGCTACATCTAGCAGGGTGGATAGGGGTTTGCATGCTACTGCTCAAGCCTTCCCGTCTTTTTATTCCTCTTCTCGCGCTTTTTCACCCTTATCGTCCCGTTCCAGCTTCACTTTTATCCCCCCTGTTTTCAACCCCCCAATTCTCGGCCCTCCCCCACCTTGCTTCAATAGTCGTTTGTCTTTTAGTTTCAACTCACATGTGAACGCGGAGCGTCATTCCTGCACTGTCAACAGGCCCATGTCCAAGCAAGCGGCCCATTCCAGTTCATCGGCTTCCATTTGGAGCCTTCGATCCTCCTTCAGATTGGCATGCCTCAATGTACGCACATTGCTAGAGATCGGTCAACAGACAACACTTGCCTGAACATTAGAGACCCTCACGATCGATATCTGCTGCTTATCGGAGACCCGCCTGCAAGACTCGAGTTCTATGCTCGCTTTACAATCCTCTTCAGGTGACACCAGCAGCACTTTCTCATTGCGCCTATCCGGTGACGATGCAGCTTCGAGCACTGGCCAAGCCGGTGTTGGTATTGCCCTGAGTCCCCGGGCTGAAGCTGCTCTGGTTGACTGGATTCCAATCAGTAGCCGGATGTGTGCGGTCCGATTGGCTGGATCGTTCAAAACTTCGAAATCGCGCGAGACTAACATGTGTCTATTCGTCATCGCTGCCTATGCATCCACAAACTCTAACGCTGATTCGGTAAAAGACGACTTCTATCGCCAATTGAACGAGCTCCTTCGCCACAGAAGAAGCTCGGACACTGTTGTGCTGGCTGGGGATCTCAACGCTCAAGTTGGAAGCCTATCCACTGATGAATTGCATCTGGGCGGCCAACATGGTGTAGGCTCCCGTAATGATAACAGTGAGCGGTTACTTCATTTGTGTGAAGATGCTCGCTTACTTCTTGCGAGCACTAATTTCAGACACAGCACTTGCTGGAGGGTGACTTGGCGCCCATCAGCCTCGAACCAGCTATGGACGGAAATCGATCACGTTGCGATAAGCTACCGATGGAGAGGCTGCGTCCAAAGCTGTCGCTCAATTTGGAGCACAGGTGTAGACACCGACCATGCACTTGTATGTGTGGATGTGCGGATGCGATTTGGCGGACGCCCATGACGACGTTGCGAGCGTATTGACACCAGTCAACTGGCGAAACCAGCTGTTCTGAATACCTATCAAACTACGCTGTCATGCGAGTTGAGTATGCGCTCACTGGATGCAGTTGAAGCTCATTTGTCTCATATTCACCAGTGCTTACTAGCAGCAGGCAAATCCTCATGTGATAAGTCTAATCGCCAACATGGACATTGGGTCTCATCGCAGTCTCTGGAACTTATCGATGCTCGCCGATACATTCCGGCTGGAAGCGAACACAACGAAACGCGCAAAGAGCTCCGTGCTAGCCTGAAGAGAGACTGCGAATCCTGGTGGTCTCATCGTGCATCAGAGACGGAAATGGCCGCTGCCCTTCGTAACCATCTTAAATTATTCCGGCTGATACGTAAAACGGGCAGCAGAAGACCTGGTGTTAGTGAAACTATACGTAATGTGAATGGACAGTCTATCCACAACTTGTCAAAACGCTTGGAGCGTTAGGCTGATCACTTTGGAAAGCAATTTAATCGGACGGAATTGTTAGATTTCTCACCGGCCACTGATCGCCCAGCTCCCTGGGCTGTCCCTTTGGATCCACCCTCGCTCCTTTTTTCTGTGTATTGCGGCACAGTAGCTAAGGTGTTCCCCACCTCTAGCTAACGTGTATGATGATGATGATGATGATCCGATCATTATACGCGCGTAGCTCAGGCAGAGTAAGGGCTTACGGAAAGCTGTCGTCGCCATTTAATATCTCCAGCGGTGTGACAAGGATGCCCGCCGTCACCTTTTCTCTTCAACTTCGCTATTGACGTAGTCATGGAAATCGCGTTTACAGGACACGAGTTAGAAGGTGTGGATCTGTTCCCAGGAGAACGACTTCTTGACTTGGAGTAGGCTGACGATATTGCCCTAATCTGTGACAGTTCCCAGACGTGCCAAGCGGCACTGGACAGATTAGTACTGGCTGTCAGCCGCTTCGGGCTTTCCTTTGCACCATCGAAATGCAAAGCGTTCCTCCAAGATTGGCAAGGATCGCCTCCTTTGCTGACCTGTGGTGGGGATCAGCTAGAAGTCGTTCAAAAATTGAACTACCTGGGAAGCTGCATCAGCGCCCTGGGATCGAAGACGAGATCCCGAACCGTATAGCAAAAGCTCGAAGTGGTTTTGCTAATCTTCGCCACCTATGGTTGCGGCGCGACATCACACTTGCCCTGAAGGGTAGAGTGTACAATTCAGCGATAAGTTCGACCCTACTATCCGGTGGGGAAACTGGCCCCATAGACCAGCGGACATAATGGAGATAGTTACTTTTGACCACCGGCGCCTTCGCAGTTTGGCTCACATCTGGTGGGAACACCGCGTGAGCAACGAGCATGTTCGACGCCTTGTTTACGGCACAGGAACAGGAAATGAATTGCTCAGCACCGTTATTTCACGCACCAGGCTCCGATGGCTCGGGCACGTGTTGCGCTTGCCAGCGCACCGACTCCCGCGACGTGCGTTGTTTGCGCCTCGGTGGTGTGGTTGGAAGAAGAGGAGAGGTGGCCAAGCAA